AATTTGGGAAATTTAGATTTGATTATGTTTAATATAATTAATATTTAATAAAATAAAATAAAACCTATTTTTTGAAAAGTTAAAATAGTGACCTGATTTGTGAAATTGATATTTTAAAAATCTTTTTGAGTGTAATTTCCTCTTTTCTAAGTTCAATAAAGCCTAGATGGATGATGGATCACTTGCACTAGAAGTGGGCTACAATAACAGAGCCCGGCACGGTCGCATCCCTTTTCCTGGCCCAAACAAGTCAATTTCACACACCACCAATTTTCACAAATCAAAATCGGTGGCTTCCTCCCTCCCTCTGTTTCTCTGTGAAATCACAGTACCCCAGCAAGACAGATTCCCTCCTCTTTTTGCCAAATAATTTTTTTTAATTAATGCACTATTTCCCCATTTTTATGATTCTCTCTCTCTCACAGACTCACACACACAGAGTATGACTCTATAGTCCGTATTCAGAATGCTGCCTTGTGTCAGAGGGCACGAGGTCGGCAAAATAAACTAGCTAGGACAAGTGTACGTTGCATGGAACGACGTCGTTCTCGTTTTGCAGAGCCTCATTCAAACCCTTATCATTTTTTGAAACCCTTGTCTTCTTTCTATACAACCCCTTTCGAAGAAGTTCTTGTTATATAGCTTTTCCTGCTCAACGGCGTCGTATCAGAACTGTCAGCACCATTGTTAAGCCTTGTGCAGTAAGTGTTCTGGTTTATTTTTAGCTTTTGTTTATAACCAAGCTCAAGAATCTTTTAAATCTAGCAACTTATTTTGAAATCTTTGCGTGGTTATTTTAATTGTAAAAGTCTGGATTTTTATTCCGTTCTTCTTTTGTTTTGTTTTGTTTTGCTTTGTTTTTTGATAAAAAATGAATCTTTTTTTTTTACTGTTCGAGTGTTTTTAGAACTTTAAGCCCTTCAATTCCGGAGCTACGTAAAACCTCACAAACTCATTTGTTTAAGCCCATGTTCAGCGGAAATCATGCTTCTGCTTTCCCTTAAACCATTTTTCCTGTAAGATTCTTGATCAGACCTTGAATTTTGTTTTATTTTGATGGGATTGGAATCACACATTAGCCAGAGAATGGAATTTGCAGGTAAGTCTAAACCCCTTAATCAACCTTCCAATATTTCCGAAATTGTTACTAAATTTGCTAAAGTACGTAAGTTTAGATCCGTTGGTGTTTTCAGTACATCTGAAAACCAGTACCATAGTTACAATCACCAGCAATTTTTCCACAATGTTGCACAATCATTAGCTGAAGAGAGCAGCAGCGATGCGACTGCGAAGGCTGAGTTTGAAGCCGAGAAAATCCATTTGCAATCTGCTGAGACACAAAAAGAAGGGAACGAGTGTGGGCATATGGAGATCTCGAAATTGTTTAGCACACTTTCAGCTTTGAAATCAGCATATGTTAAGCTCCAAGAAGCTCACATCCCCTACAGTCCTGAAAAGATTAGAGCTGCTGATGAGATGGTTGTGTCTGAGCTTGAATCACTTTGCAAGATTAAGAGGGCTTACAAGGAGAAGCTATTAAAGGAAGAGAATACCTTACCTGATGGCTCAGCTCTTTTGCTTGCAGAAATTCGGGTTCAAAAGATGGCTCTGGAGAAGTTGAAGTATAAAGTGAAAGATAAAGACATTGAGGTGGTTAATTTGCGGCAACAACTACGGGCCCTAGTGATGAGGAACAAAGAGTTGACTGAAGAGATAATGAAGCAAGAAAAGCAGAGAATTAAGGCTTTTTCACACTCTTCCTTTGAGGACATTGTCAAGGCAGCTGGAAAGGCTATTCATGATTTTGCGAAGCCTTTGATTGCCTTGATGAAAGTTTCTGATTGGGATCTAGACCAGGCTGCAAATACAATAGTAAATTCCGTTGTGTATGCCAAGAGATCCCACAAAAAGTATGCATTTGAAGCTTATGTCGCTCGGAGGATGTTTCATGGGTTTCAGACGCAACCTTACGATGCGGATAATATAATGAAATTGGGTGATCCAATTGATGCTTTAATTGAAGATCCACAATCTAGTTTTGCCAAGTTTTGCAGAACAAAATATCTATTAGTAGTTCATCCCAAGATGGAAGTATCATTTTTCAACCACTCGGATCATAGGACTTTTGTGGCTAATGGGATGCATCCACATACCCCTTTTTACCGTGCATTTGTCAAAATGGCAAGATGGGTTTGGCTTTTGCTGGGATTTACAGCTTCTATTGAGCCTAAAGTTGATATATTTGGAGTTAAGCAGGGAAGTGAGTTCTCTGATGTTTACATGGAGTTTATAGAGGAGCTCAAGGAATACAAGGCTCTGCTGGATAAAGGTCATGGAAGCTACAAAGTTGAGTTCATGGTCATGCCTGGTTTTAAAATAGGGGAGAGTTTAATCAAATCTCAAGTCTATGTCTCAAAATCAGATTGTCAAATTGCACTTTCTAGGAGGAGTGGCTAATTCAAGATACCAGTTGAAGTTTTTGCTTTCAATTGTAAATTTGTTGATAGCATTTTAACTTGGCAGCTGACACTTAATTCTGTAACCACTCTCATGGTGTAGTACTCAAAGCCTGCATTTAAAGGTAATTTTATCTTAGTATAGTTATATTTTATAAAGACTGATTTGTTTTGTTTTTCAATCTTAAATATTATGATGTAAAGATATTTATTCACATACCGTAGCACAAGTCCAAGTCCCGACCATATGTCTGAGATGTTTGATGCTAAAGTTTGTTAAACCTTGATTCCTGCATATTAATTGGTAAATCTTATCAACGTCTATATATCTAACTGAAATGTGATGTAAATAAGATCAATCAAGAGTATCTTAATACATGCTTCAATGAGGAAAATCTGGTCAAAACTACTACCAGTCCATGACTAGGAAAGTGTAGTTGATCCTTCTGCTAAAACTAGAGAATAGAATGCAAAATAATGTAAATCAAGATTCATCCCCTGAAGCATCCATGATTTGGCTGGTGGTGGTGGTGCTACTTGATTTACTTTTTCTTGGCTATTTTTGCTTTCAAATTACATCACTCCAGCATTCAAAATACCATAGCTCAGTCGTTATAGTATTTAGTTTATCTTCAGGGTGGGTGGTTTATCTTCAGTTGTAGTTGCTTGTGCGTTTCACTCATCATCTTCGCTGGTAGTGCAAAACAAATCCTTGGATAGCTCCCGGTAGAATCTGTAATGGAAACGGGACAAGTGAGGTTCTTCCAGCAGTACAGAAGCTCCTCGACATCCGCCAAATCCCTCATTTTTCCCTCTTCAACAATCATCTTATCAGATAATTCTCAAAGCTCCTGCAAACATCTTCGACATCTTCTGATTTATTAACTTCACATTCTCATGTTTGCTGGATTGAGGGACGGTGAGGTGTAAAATGCTGTATGATTCCTGGCATCTGAATAACTCTTGAGCTCCATGACTCAGTCCATCTGTTCTGTCTCGATCACCTTAAGGAACACCAATGCTTTTAATTTGTATAGACATTGATTGCACCAATGCCATTTATTTGTATGTACACCATAAGTTTTTGATTTTCTGCAAACAAACTTTCTCTACATCACACTGAATACTGATTGGTCGAATTCAAATGAAAGGAAATGTTTAAAATCCTCTCCCTTTATGGCCTAGTCTCTTACAGTCACTTGAACATCTCACAGAACAATGTTGCTGTACGGTTTTACTAGAAACCTTGCAAGGTGCTCGAAACCCTATATTTTCCACTGCGTCCACCGTCTTGAATAATCATATCTTCTATTATCCTCTACTAATGACTGGTAGAGCTACTGGCTGTGCGATCTAATAGGGACCAGATCCTTAGCAATCTAGCACATCCTTGCACTGCTTATAGCAAATCTTAGCAAGATATTGCCTTGTGCCTGAATTTTCGCCATGATAAAAACGAGAAGAAGCTGAAGTATTTTCAATAGCATACGGGCTGTGTCTTCTCGGGCTCATTACAGGATCGTGTTCATCAGCAGAATAGTATGTCCAGCTGGAATACTTTTCAGAGTGGGAGCTCTGTGAGCTCGTATCATCAAACGAGACATATTCAAGAACAGATGTCGATTAAAATTGTGACAAATGCTTCATCAATGTAAATACCCTTTTCAAAACCCGGTCGAGCAAAATAAGACAATCAGAATGCGTAGCTCAACTAGGAAGCAAGGAGCCTGGATATGGTTTCGAATGGTACATAGTATACATAGTAATTCCAAACATTCATGAACAATAATAGCAATACCTTGAAGCCAATGACCACTTTGAGTCGACTATGTAAGTAAGCCGACTATGGTCCGACTTCCAATTCGGAACAAGACCAGTTATATCTGCAATTTCTGATGGTTTCCAGTCAGTAATTTCTAACTCCTTCACCATTTCATTTGCAACACCAATAGGGATATCGGAAACAATTTCAAAAGGGAAAAAACACGATCCTAACATTCCCCGACAAAAGCGAGCATAAAAAGGAAACGATCTCTATAAGACCAGGACCGTAAAAAGGAATCACAGGATACAAAGATTAAAAGGAGGCCGAAAATTTAGGAACATGGGGTAGGCAAAAATTGTCTCGTCCTCAGGGTTCAGCTTCCCTGTAATTGTCGGGTTAGTCCTTAGTAAATCCTCGTTCAACTGCAGATCCTCGAGTTTAATATTGTCATTCAGAAAAGGTTTTTGAATTTCATTTTTCGACTTTGGCTTATCATCACGGTCTCCAAGTGCAAGAAATGGATCAAGCATTAGTTCCTCTTCTGGTAACCTCTTTGATGCAGATTCCAAGAATCTCCCAATAAATCGTTGAGCGTCCAAGCCTTGGAACTTTGTAGAATGCTCTTGGCTTTTTTCATTTAAAAGAAAAAATCTAGTCATCCAGATTAGTTCTGACCACATTTACGCCTTTTTGGCCAAATTGTAACATGATCTTACCGATGTCACTTTCTTGCAGGGATGGAGCCAGAACATAATGTTAACGTAGGCTGAAATTTAAATATTTTCAAATGAATTTTCACATCACAAGAAACAAGTTTAGTAGGTTAAACTTGTGTCATTAACAACAAAGAGTATACAACACTCAATAAAATAAAATAAGTTTAGATATCTCATCTTAAGATGTCCCATTAGATCTTTGTTTCTTTTCTTACAACATAAAAAATCAATGCTTACCTTAAAAGAAGCATCGTTTAGTTAAAATTCTCCACTATATTTCAAGAATTTGGGAAAGATACAGTTGAGCTTACGTGAGCCTGAGGCCATAGTATACTTTCTTAAAATCAATAGCTAAGATGAATTTGCTTCTTTCTATGATTCTTAAAGACAAATAGCAATCGTCTTCCAAGATAGAATCAATTTCCCTCTTATGGTAGCAATACAACAATTTGCAAGATTTTCAACGAACACAAGTTTGTGTTATGTACTTGAAAAATTTGAACATAATACATGAAATATTGCATTTGTATATATCGTGGTGTATCATGATTCGTATATATACAATCTGAAATTGATGTTTCAAATTCTGAAATAGAAGACCATTTGTGTTCGTGGCCATTCAAACAGCCTAATGGTCAACCTGCGCTACAGTGACATTTTGATGGTAGTGATATAGACACGTCAATGGTAAGATGCGGTAGTGTTGAGATGAGATTTGAGGTGTTGATGGTGGTGATGTGGAGTTTGGGCTCGATGAAGGTGATTGTGGTGGCGTTGACAGTAGTGTGGCGACAACCACTGCGATATACAATATTTTTATTATCACATTAATGTATTACATTTTTTATAACACGTGTTACAAAAAAAGTAAGAGAAGATTTTTTTTGTAATAAAAAAACGTTGAACAACATTTTAGAAAATATTTTATTTTTATGGCTTATCTATGAAAATTGACCTGATTTCTAACCTTCAAGTTGACTCGTCGTTTCTAACTTTCATTTCGTTTCAGTAACATTTGGAAAAAGTTATTAAAATCTTACAGTAAATTTAAAAAATAATAATAAAAATTTAAAACAATAATCAGGAATGGAGAAGAAAGGCAAAGCAAAAATCCAAAAATGAGCAAAATTCTATATTACTATTACCCTGTCTAAATGGAGAAGCATAAAAACAGCTATATTATACTTCCTTGTTCCTGAAGTCCTGTAGTTTGTTAACATCTAAAAGTTTTTTACATGTCATTTTATTGGCATAGAGGGGGAAACTCATCTTCATTCTTAAGGTGGAGTGACCGCTCTGTAACCCTGAAACCCAAAACCAGATACAACTTTAACCAGCATTCAGTAATAAACCTCTAAATCATCATATATTTTAAATGGTTACCTTTCTTGCTTCATCACTGCTGTTGAATCCCGACCTCCCGTTGAGATGCTAAGAGTCGAGTCCCAAGCACAAGATAAACCCGAAACCACCTCTTCGGCCAGGCTCCCTAAAGATCCAAACTCGATTTTAAATAATGCATTTTCAAAACCATTTATATGGTTATCATCTTTCACTGAACGAGGAGACTGGCAGCATACATCAGATTTTCCTTGGCCTTGAAATCTGCTGCTTGCAGGTAGGAATTCACGCGTACCATTTTCATAAGAATTCGACTTCCACGAAGAAGAACTTAATACATTTCCATTGCTGCAGTTGTGTCCCCGAAACTGATTGCAATTTCTAAGTTGCTTATTCCTTCCCCTCCCATGTGAAGGCTTCACCCTGGAAGAACCATTCTGCAACATAGATAGTAAGATCACGCTAAATTGCAAACGTAATCTAAAAGGAACGAGGAATACTCAAATTACAATCGAAAAATACCATATTAGGAAAGTAAGTTCCGGTTCCTCGTGCCTTTTGTTTTCCTTCAGAACCAAAAGCAGCAGTGAGCAAGGCAGTATCAATACCATGACACGTAAGTGGTCCCGGAAACATTGTGTTTGAGATCATTTGGGAAAACTGACTCGATCTGAGCAGTGGCATTGGTTGCCAAACGGTATCCCACTGCTTACTTTGAATCCTAGAAGGCAATGGAGGAGGATTGGATGAAGGAAAAGACAAATAAACCCCATTGCATAGTTGACCATATAGTAAATTCCTAATTTGGCAGTCATAATCTCCACTGAGGTCTGCCAAAGGGTTCAAAGGTACATCAGACTCTCCTGCTACACTAAAGAGATCAATTTCCCCATAACCGAGGGATGGATTTTCAAAATTACTGGCCTTTGGACTAGAAGAAGCCGAGAAAGTTGTATGGTTGACCTCAAAATTGTCCATACACCATCTGTATGTATTATTCATTTTCCCATGATTCACCCCTCTCTCCAGCCACGAAGTTAATTCAAACTTCTGATGAGTACTATTTGATAGGTCACCTTCGTGAAAGTTCCCACTTGCTACGCTCCCATTTTCTACAGATGATTTGGAAGCAAAGTAACGGGATTTATGTTTCCCCAAGAGAGATGCACTATTATTGCTGCTTGATGTACAATCTGATGTGTTATATTCAATCCTCAAAGATGAATTAGATGTAGCAAGGTCATATGCATCCCCTGCAAGATGGTGTCCTGAAGTGGCAAGCCCATTGGCTGAGGAGCATGTTTCTGATTCTATCTTTGAAGTGTCTCTCATCGAGCATCTCTCTACCTCATTTCTGAACTCCAAAGTGCATCTGTCTTCAGCCCCTATACTATCATTATCAAACTCACTGACAGATGATCTTAGAAGCATGCCATCTTCAGAGTATAATTCGGCAGAGGATTCTAAAGATGCAGTCAGGGACTCTTCATCTTCAAATACTAAGGCTGAATGCTCGATAACACTAGCGTGCCTTTGCCCATGTCTTGCAAGAGTATTTGAGAAGAATTCATAGATCTCACCAGCAACTTTATCTCTCGGTTGCAATAGAACTTGACCAAGCTTGCGAGCCCCATATTTGAAAGCACTACGTATACGGTAGAAATTGCCTAAAGGGAGAAAAATCAAGAATATTAGCTTGCACTGTAACTCTTTTTCATATTCTTACAATCAGAAGTACCATTATAACAGGAAGGCAGTATAAGAAATTAATGCCATGTTCATCTTTTCCCAAGAACTAAACAGATTCTTCAATCAGTAAATATTGCTTGTGGAGAACGGTAATGATGAGGCTGGGGTGCTTGTGGTCACAGCTGTTGTGCCTCCTGGTTATTCAAGAAAGTTCCAGAAAGATGTGTGGGTAGCCCAGCTAGAGCAGTGAAAATTTGTCATGCAGCTTGAGTAAAGAAAAATTAAGGATTCTTGCCTACCGAAAAATGAGAAAGAGAAGGTGGAGCTCAAGTAAGAACGAACTTTGTTTGAAAAGTTTCCGCTTTTGCAGTGACAATTGTGCTATTAGAGCAGCTACAGCAGTCACAATGTGACATAGATACGCATCTTAAGACAAGTTGTTCAGGAACCTATGTTGAAGTCAGAAAGAAGTGAGAATGAACTTCTCTCAGAACGTTTCTGCTATGAAACTATATATCATTTAGATATTTCTTCATTTTTCAGACTTTCCACCTCAACGAGGGAAGAATGACATTCCACCAATGCTATGAGTGGAAGGATTTTGCCCAACAAAAGCATGCAAACCCAACACAAAACAATCTTGTATCACCCAGGATTGGGTCAAATTGAAAAATGACGATTCTTTCATTTCATTGACACGTGAAACTAATAATCTCTCTATTTATTTTTCATGGATTCTCCTGAAAACTGGAAAATTATGAAAGGAAAAATATAATATTTCTATTTAATAACATCTATCACGACTTCCCTTAAATCTTAAAATAATCAAGCAAGTAAGAATAATTTTCCTTACCTTTGTGCACGCTACGTCCAAGGTTATTATTTTCCTTCAGCGGGTCAAATATATTAAGACTTTTAGGCTGAAATGCTTTTGGGATTGTCTCAAGACTCTGAGTGGAACCTGAAAACATTCCTACACATTTTTCTAAAAATTCTTCACTAAGCATCATGTCCTTCCGCCCATTCTCTGGCATCTTAACTGCAAACACACAAGAAAAGAGAAGGCCATGAAAAAAGACTAAACCTAACAGGAGGAAAGAAAATTGCTAGTACCTACAAGAGCGTGGTGTGCATGTGCATGCGCCTTGGTGTGGGCATGGGCGTGTGTGTGTGTGAGAGAGAGAGAGAGAGAGAGAGAGAGAGAGAGAGTGAGTGTGTGTGTGACGACCCAGATCTCTATACCCAAGTCATTAGCTTACTACTATTCACTTTGGCTGGGTAAGTTGTCCAATTGGTACCAAAATTCAACTTAAACCTCTCGCTAAGCTTGAGTTCGAATCATGGGGGACGCGATAGAAAGTAGTGAGAGGGTAAATGGGCATAAGTGAACCCAAAGTGAACGGTACGTAAGTTAATGGTTTGGGTATAGAGACCCGAGTTGTTACAAAAGAGATCTTAAGTTTGAATCTTAGGACATGATAGAAGCTGTGAGGGGATAAGTGGGCATATGCCCACCCAAAACCGACAGTACGTAAGTTAACAGCTTGGGTATAGAGACCCGAGTCGTTACAGAGAGAGAGATGCTCTTGATTAAGTGAAACCATTTCTAAATAATCAAGTGCATAACTTACCCACTATATCCGGAAGTAATGATATGCAAACGGGCCCTTTCAAGCTTATGCAGTAGCTCTCCCAATCAAATTGGCTAAAATATTCCAAAAATTTATAGAGTACCTAGAAATGCAGATAATGTTAATAAATTGAACTTCATAAATGCATATTATGTATACAAACATAGTCAATATCGCATAGTCAATGTAATTACCTCTAGAGGACCATTCAAGGATGAATAAAATAGATGGAATATATATAGGACAAGTGTTTCCAAAGCATAAGTGGATAATAAGCCATGGTGTGCGCCAAGAATACGGCTCTCATAGTAGCACCAAGCTTTTACCAAAATAATGCTGCGTTTGAAGAGATGTTTTTTCCCAACATGGCGATCAACCTGCATTTAAAAACAAATCATAAAATATTCAACGAGCATAAATACTGCATGCCTTGAAAGTTTAACTCACATGAGAACTTGACAAATTTTAAGCACTGCAGCGCCCAACAGTCTTATTATAAAGAGTAACTTTCAGGGAAACATAACAAAGAATTGATGAGGAAATAAATGAATGGAATTGGTCCTCTTAAAAAGCTTTATCTATCATCTACTTGAAGTTCATATCACTATTTGAAACCTGGGAATCTGAAGACAAAAAAAATATTACATCATATTAAGAATTTCAGATTGTCAATAAACCATCTGTAAATCACCATACCAAACTGCAGTAGGAAAGGGTTCACTGCAGAGTAAGTATAGAAGTTTAACAGGTCAACCTGATGTGATTGAGTCCAGACTTAGGAAAGGAAAGGAAAGGAAAGAAACAAAAAAAAAAATAGATAAATAGATAAGAAAAGGCAATCACTTTTGAAGGGGTTACAGACAAACGAAGTGCCAACATTAACTTACCATTTAAAAGTACCTGACGAAACTGTACAAAAGGTTTTACGTTCAGCTATTTCAGCTTCTTTGTGACAGAATTTGAAACGAACATAGAAGAAATGATGTGTAATTGTACTTCAGATGAATGGAATCCAGTACACAAAATGGCATATTTATACATTTCAGAACTAACAGTAATGCGTAGAGTCTACCTGCTCAAGGAAACAGAGTGTAGAAAGTCCTCCAAGCTGATTAACAGAAATATCGATCACAATGTTCTGCACAAGGCATTTCACAATTTTCACCTGCCATCGGACCAAAACCTCAGAGAACCACACGAGTAAATAGGAAAGAGCCACCGCATGACAGCTTTTGGAAACATGTAGAATGGAAACATGCAAGTAAGGCGATCAAAAATAATCAGATGCAAAGCATTCGAGCGAGACTACCTCAGCATCTATGAACTGCGCATCCTTCACTTCATACTCTGCATTTTCATTTAGCTGCTCTCCTTGCAGAATACCAAGAACATTGCGTGCCAAAGATTCCTCGCCATTAAGAATTTTAAGTGCGGTCAAGTCGATATCTCCATCGGGTAAGTACGTCTTCAGGGGGACAGACCCATAGGGAAAAGCCTAAGACGAGTAAAAACCAAGTTAGTGATATTAAGCCCTAAACACTTCAATAAGTTAAAGATGGATGCAAGAATTACAGGGATAAGACTATTCAGAACTAACATATATGAACCATTGTCTTGATATATTTGGCGGTAAGAATCCTTGAGGCTTCCATAACACATAAGTTTATTAGGATGCCTTGGAGAAATTAAAATAAAAAGAATTGTAAATAGGAGCAAAAAAATAATAATAATAACCCCTAAATTTCAAGCTATGAGCAAATTCAGAATCTAAGAATTCTGCTCCGCATTTGACTTTTTAAAGAGCCGTCAACCTTCCATTAATTAAAATAGAATACCGAACTTCGCAACTTAACATTTTTCTAGTTGCCACAGCACCGATGCTGCACCTGCACTTTTGATTTTGTCGCTTGCAATCTTTTAACGAGTGATAAAGACGAGATCAGAGATTCAGAATTGGGTGTAATCATCTGAATCTAGCACAAGTGAATAGATAATGCAGAATCTAACAAGTCTAAAAAGAAAACAATCAGATACTGCTACAACTTAAATCACTCAACAGATAAAAAACCCCTTCAAGGTCTTAAAGAAGACTTCTAACATGACACCTGAAAAGCAACCTATTTTCAAGAATATACTTCGACTTTCCCCGCGCACATATAATATATATATAATCGCACAAAATTCGAATAAGATTCAGGAAACTGAAATTAACCAAATCATTTTCCAGAGAGAAAAATCATCATAAAAAGGTTTTTACGCGTAAATAAATAAATGTAGTAAATTGAAATCGGAAAACATGTGATCACCTCACAATCAAGATGACGCTTTAAGAGCCTCTGTACGTAATCAATTACGTCTTTTCTATTCTCCTCTGAGTCAAGAGTTGGGTGTATGCAATTCATCACTTGCTCTGCCGCTTCCTCCGCCGCTAGAAAACACTCATCGTTTATTGAAACCGGATCAGGTTGTCTGCGACCCGACCCAGAAATCGAACCAAGCCCGAAAACCAAAGGGCCATCCTCCACCAAAACGCCACCGCTTGAACTCTTCATTACAAGATCACCCATGTTTTTATTCATTTTTGTATAGACTTTAATATTAAAATTCACTCCAGGGCTTTTGCTTGCTTCATCAGTTTTATTAAAGTTGCTTCCATTGTTGTTACAGAAAAACAGAATTCAAGAAAATGAAGACAGAGTGAGTCAGTCAGGCAGTCAATCAGTGAAAAAGGGGTTTAGAATTGGGATTTTGAGAATTGGTGGAATTTATTTCAAATTCTAATAATCTGCTGCTTATATATGTGTATTATATATATACTGGAAGATAAAAAATATTTTATTGGGAAACAGGAGAAAAATGAGAACGAGAAATTCGGAGATGAAGACAAAAAGGGTTGTATCTATTTGTATTCTTCTTCTGCAAACCTCATCCACGTTCAGTTATTTGCAGGCAAACAAAAGTAAAACTCGTTTTTCCTCGTCCACCTTCCCCTTCACTCTCCTCTCTCTATATATATAGTTTTTGTATGTATAGATTTCTAGGTTTTCGTTTTAAAAAAAAAATTATATACATATATATCTTCGAATGAATGCAAACTCCTGTCGACGACGCGACGGGAGGGGAGCAGAGACAGGGAGGGAAGGTGAATGAGGATATTAAAAAAAAAAAAAAAACTATATTTAATTGTTCCGGTGGGGAAACAGTAAAACGCTGACGTTTTAGATTATTTTATTTGGCTCGGTAACGGATTCGTGGGTTTTGTAATTAATAAAGGGAGGAAAGGCACTAACAATTTGAAACCGAAGTCACCGTCTTTGTGTTAGTGCCCAAGTTGCATTGAAACGCGTTGCTTGTACAATTTTTTTTGACAAATTCTTTGACGGACGCTGAAGTGTCGTGCACTTCAATCTTTGTTTTAGTACTCGTTTAATAAAGATTAAAATTCAATTAAAATTAAAAATATAATTGTTATTGGGTCTCACTCGTCTAATAAAAATCAACAATAACGACTAATTTTTCAATTTAATCCGATTTTAATCTTTACCAAACGCGCCCTTACTAAGACGGGTCATTTGACAGATGTTGAGATGACATGCCTCTAGGCCATTGATTTAAATTTCATTTATTCAAATTAAGGACTGAAATGCGTGTCACCTTAACATCTGCTAAATAATCTATCAAAATTTTTTTTTTACAAGCAGCTTAATTCGCTTTGACCCACCCCTCTAACTTTGATATTTTAGGACGTGTTTACTAAAAAGAATTTAATAATAAAAGGTGATTTTTTTTTTATTGTGTGATTAAAAAGAAAAAAATTGTGAGTTGTTATGTAAAATTATTTTATAGAAGAATGTATCGTTCAAAACAAATATTAAAAAACTTGTACAAAACAATAGCTTAAAAGCGCTGACTTATGAAAACTATGCTATGTGTTGAATGTTTGGCAAAGGATAATGATTGGTCTCATTTTCAATGAAAATAGATCAATCTTGATATTTTTATTGTCGTTATTATAACAATATTGTTATCGATTTAATACATAACACGCGTAACAATAAGGTAAATAAGATATCGACAAATGATCAAACAAACTAAATAGAATTTGTATTGTTTCGGATATACTCATACCTCTGCAAGAACGGTATGTCAATGAATGACACGTTTAGCCAAAAAGGTAATAAGTAAATTAGATAACGACAAATAATCTTAATTAAATAGAATTTATATTGTTTCAGACATACCCTACACATCTACGAGTATGTTATGTCAATAAAGGATGCGTTTAGATAGAAAGGTAATAAGTAAATTAGATTACGACAAATGATCTTACAAATTAAATAGAATTTATATTGTTTCAAACATACCCTACACATCTATGAGTATGTTGTGTCAATGAAGGACGTGTTTAGCTAGAAAGGTAATAAGTAAATTAGATAACGACAAATGATCTTATAAATTAAATAGAGTTTATATTTTTCGTTATCCTTTGCAAAACAAAACATACCATACATTACTACACGTATAGTATGTCAATGAAGGACGCATTTAGCCAAAAAAATATGTTTCTTAAAAGTTGGGGACCCACGTCAAGATATTTTTGAAAATATAAGTTCGAAATTTTTAAATTTTTTGTCTTATAAATTGCGGGATCTACAGTTGTATGAATTTTGGTCGACGCAATTTTATCGTTCTTCCAACTTATTATAAATATTTATTTTTTATTTTTTTGTCAAATGCTATGAAAAGATGCGTCCGTAAATTTGAGGGTACAAAATTGTACCACGTGACGTGTGGCATATTGAAAGGGGATTTTTGAAATAAGATTTCTATAATCTATAAATAAAAAGAATAAATTTTAGAAGTTAATGACATCTCACTCATCGTTGATGAACTCAAAACAAGATAGAAAAGAGTCATTAATGCATTCCACCAAACTTTGACTTTTTCATTGGGGCCCACCATAGATACTAATTTAGCTAAGCCCTTGTTTGGACTTTATTTTAATGAGGTTTTCTAGAAAAATAATGTTACTCATCACCAGTGGAGTTACAAACACAGTTTAGGTGGTTTTAAATGAAATGTGAAATTAAATGACTTATTTAATTTCACATATCATTTAATGTCACATTAACGCCACCTAAACTGTGTTTATAACCCCGGTGGAGATGAATAGGTTTACTCTTTCAGGAAATGTATTTGGAATGGTAATTTTTTTCAAGAATGTGTAATTAAAAAATAAGGAAAAATTTTTAATTTACATGTAATATTATTTTATTGAAAAATATATGGTTGAAAATGAGATAAAAATATATATTTTTAGTTTAATGGAGCCGAAATATGGGCTAAAATATGATAAAAATTTAAATCAAAATTAACAATTAATTTTAATTATACATCATATGGACTCACAATTTTTATTAACTATATATTTCATCAATTTTATCAAAATCTGAAAAATGTGATTTTTAGTAAAAATCAATGGGACGTACAAACCATGATATTTGCACAATTGCACTTAGTTTCAAATGGCTCTACAAGTAAAGAGAATTTCTGAGTTTATTTTAACAAAACACTTTTTGAAAAACGTGTGGTTAAAAAGTAAAAAGAATTTTTAAGTTTATTTGTAATATTATTTTATTGATAGAATGTGTGGTTGATAGAATGCAAGAGAAAAATAAATTAAAATTTAACGGGACCAAATATGGGCTAATTAAATGTGTGGTTGAAATTTTTTTAACCTATATATACATTTTTTTTTTTTAGCTTTTAAACTATGCCAAACATGAAATATGTAATTGCAGACATTGGATTTTGATAGGCACATAGTATTCCTACGACTGGTAAAATTTGGAATAATGGCAGGTAGAAGAAGTCACTGACATGACATCTTGGTTTGACTTCTTCGAACAGAAGCATTGTCCATATCAATGGGCATTAATTCCTTCTAGCAACCATGGAAAAAACTTTTATTCGATTATGATACTCATAGAATGATTACTCTAGTGGATCTTTGATAGAGATTAAAATTAGATTTTTAACAGATTGTGATAGAAATTTTTGAAATGTGTAGTCGAAGAGTTGTGGGATCGATGAAAATTGTGTTTAATATTTGATTGTTTGATTTTGACTTGATCCCGATTCAATGGCCATTATTTGGAAAAAGAAAAATTTCACTTGTACATTTTTCTTGACATGATTGTTGACATTACAAGTGTAGGCAAATGTTGATTTTGTGAAAAATTTAAACTATCCAAAGTGTAAAAAATAATGTAAATGATAATTTACATGTAGAATGGTTGCTATAAAAAACAATGTTTTGAATAATAGTTTTTAAGAAGAGAATATGATTAAAAAATAGAAAATATTTTGGGTTTATGTACAAAATATTTTATTATGCGAATGTGTAGTTAAAAATGATTACGTAAAAAAAAATTATTGTCAAAGAGGGGCTTAGTCTTAGAGATGACAATTTTCCCCGCCCCGCCCCACTCCGCTCGATGGGGCAAAAAAACCCACCCCGAACGGATTGGCGGGGAGGGGTTCATCGCCCCGTCTCAGGTCGCGGGGTGGGGCATAACCAGCCCCGTGAAGAATTTAAAAAAAAAAAATTTATTTTGGACATTTTGTGTTTCAAGTGCTTACTTTGGATATTGATATAGTTAATTTGAAGGGAAGAATACAGAAATCCTGCATTTACTTATACACATTTCAAAAATACCAAAAACATGTTTCAAATTTCAAAATTCAGGTTTCTTTATAATTTTTAATTATGAAATAATAATTATTAAATTAATTTATTATTAATATTTAATTCTACTATAAAATAATTAACCCACCCCCACCCCTACAACTTCGGGGGTATTCCGGCGATCGTTCCGGCCACCACTCTTCTCCGGCGACTGTTCCGACGACTTTCTCGGCGACTAATCCGATTCCGGCGAATATGTTAAGGTCACAAATCTACACAATTTGGTCACAATTCAAAAAAATTTAGGTCACAATTCAAAATTTTCGTAGGTCACAATTTGTTTATCGGTCAAAACTTAAAAATTTTAAAGTAACAATTTTTTCATGGGTCACAAATCACAAAATTTGTAAGTCACAATACTTATTTAAGTCACAATTTATCGACTTATTGGTCACAATTAATAATTTTTAGGTCACAAAGTAATAATTTTAGGTCACAATTAATAATTTTTAGGTCACAAAGTAATAATTTTTAAGTCACAATTAATAAATTTTTGAGTCATGGAGTATTTCTTAGTCACAATTTATTATTATTGGTCACACACCAACAAATTTATTGGTCACA